CATTCTCACTCCGACTACGCGCCCGCTCTTTTTCTTAAACACGAGGCACACCAACTGTCAGCACTCACCGCGCGGGAATCAACGCGCAATCACGGACTGATCCAGTCGCTCATGAATGACGCGACTGGTCGTTCGCGATGGCCGTTTGCGGCAACCTTGTACAAACACGGCCAATGGGCGCCCACTACACACACCACGCCACTCGGCCCCTCCAGCTCACATCTTACCGGCTCAACACGGCGTACTTCCATCAGCTATATTGGGCGCGGTTCATCACTCGTCTGCGGCGGTGCCACGGACCAACACCCTCGGTGCGCGTCCCGCTCGCCGCCGGAGCGCGTCCGAGTTCGGCAGCCGGCGGCTGGGCGGCCTGCACGCGACGATCGAGGGTCGGCGGCCACCTCACGGTCTGCCGAGCCCCCCGACACGGGCTGCGCCGGAGGGCGGCCACCACCCGGCAATACACACGGAACAGGAAGGAACGGAGGCCCAGCCGCGCCGTCAGAGCTGCCGTCACTGCGCGTGTCGTCCTGCCAGACGGACGGCGCTGGTCCGCGACGCGTGCCGATCGCGGCCCATTGCACGAAGGCTGATCACTAAAATGCGATGTAACGCGAGGAAATGTTCTGCTCTCCGGGACGATGAGCTATCACCAACAACGCAACATCAGAATGTTTGTTATACCCTTCCCATGAGCGGGTCTATCACACCTGAAACCACGCAATACGCGAGACAAGGACCGACAAGGCTGCGGAATACTGCTGTGCATCCGTCTTGGATATCACAACCAGCGCAGCTGTAAAGAACAAGGGGACACGCAGATATTGGTGGAGGACCATCAGTCGAGTTCGTAGTGATGATTCTCCCTGACGGGCAGATGGTCGCTGAAGCGGCACCCACAGTCCTAACGTGTGCACCATTATTGTCGTCGGATCAGCCCACGCGGCTTCGCACAGCCGCTTTGGTCAGTCCTAAACATGCCTATGTCCTGCCTACCGACGCTCGGTCGACGCTACAGCATCAGCACCATCTGTCGGCCCATCGCGCGGCTCGAGTACTGCGCGGCGCCGCTCCGATCGCCTCGGCGTCGTCAGTGTGCCTTGGCCTTGTGCCGTCGGAAGAGTGGAACTTGCGCTTGGCTTGCGGTCGCCGTCCTCGGTGACAGAGCTGGAGTCGGTGCCGTCCTCCTCGTCGACAGTGGGCGTGTTCGAGGCGATCTGGCGCAGCCGCGAGCCCAGCTGGGAGGGCGGCGCCGAGTCCAGCGCCGAGTCGGAGCGCGACACCAGCCGACTGGCCGTCTGCAGCTGCCGACAGCGACGCACGCCGGCGTCAGCGGCGGCCGACAACGCGTGCACGCACACGCGCATACGCACACACACACGACGACGGCTGGAGGGCCGCGCATGACTGTTGGCGAAGCAGTGATGAGCGCCACCGACGACCAGTCGCCGACACGACAGAATGCGCGCAGAGCCGAATGGTACGCTGCCCTCTGCAGCGGCGGCGAATCGCATAACAGCCCCGGTGACGCTACACACGCAGACATATTCAGACGCAGGGACGGGACGGGCCACTTGCAGCCACACCCGTCGCGAGACACCGGTCACGCGCTGGAGCGGCGCAGCCCCCCCCCCTTCCCCCCCCCCCACACAGCACTGTCTCACAACACCCAGCACGGGGGTAGCGGCAGCAGTGAACGGATGCCCTAACCTCGACCACTTCAACCGCGAAGCACGTGCAGGAACACGAGCGACAGGGGATAACTTCTGAAAATGGCATGACAAGGTTAGATCAAGTACCAAACTAATGGGTTTTTCGGTGTCGGTGCCCAGTAGAGGCGCCCACCGGGCGATCGATCCAGACCTCCGACGCGGACCTGCCGACCCCGACCACCGGCTCGCGCCGTCCGTGGCGCCGGGGCGGCCGGGGGAGCCAGGCGCCACGCGGAGAGCTCACCTCCGCCTCCTTGGCGGGCGCCGGCACCGCTGCGTCGTGGCTGTGAGACTTGACCATGTTGCCGCGGCGCAGCGCCGGCGACCGCTGGCCGCCAGTGACGCGGTGCAGGGCGGACGGTCGCAGACTGCCGGCAGCGGCGCCAGGTCACGTCAGGTCAGCCGGGTCACGCGCGGTCAGACCAACAACAAGCGGCAGTTTAACCGGGGTCGGACGACGGTCGGAGGGATCCAGAGGTTCGGCATGGGCCAGACGGGGGTTACGTGCACACCGGACACCCCTCACACGTGGATAAGGGACACTCAGAGTCGTAGTTCGGCGTGGTCCAAACGGGGGAGGGGGCGACATGAACACTGGACACCCCACAAATGTGGTTGGGGACACAGCGATGTAGGCCGCGTCTTGCTATTGGTGCAGTAGACGGTGGTTGACAGCCAGGGCACACAGCATACGGGGTTATCACACAGGGCTACCGTCAAATGCCAAACAGTGCTTCACAGCGGCATAATCAAACCAACCGCAGCATTGGAGATGGAACCACTGCACTAGATGATCGTACTCGCCATTCCGGCACCGACGCACAAACCAATGGCACGGCACCACACATATGAAAGGCCTTCATCCATCCTTGGAATCGGACATCCGTCAAGCCATAACGAAGCTCGGCAAATTTGCCAACTCCCCTCCTCCCACATACGCAAATATCAATCACCGCAAAGAACACAGATCGCCACCCGCAGACCCCGCAGATAATCTCCAGAATCTGGCGATGGTTTAAAGGTCTGTCTAATGCCGTCCGAATCTGCAGAGCACCTCCCACAGCCATCACCCGCGCCGTTTGGGGATCGCTCGGCAGACTGCGCGACGTCAGCAGCTGCTCGCCAGTCGGCGGCCGGGGGGGGGGGGGGGGGGGGGATGCAAACCTGTCGGCGAAGGCGGCGATGGAGCCGGCCGGCCGCGACTCGCCGTCCGGCGCCGAGCCGTGCGACGACTGACTCGAGTCCCGCTCCAGCAGCCGGGCTGACTCGTGCGACGACTGACTCGAGTCGCGCTCCAGCGGCCGAGTCGACGGGTCGTACGACGACTGGCTCGAGTCGCGCTCCAGCAGCCGCGAGGCGCTGGCTCGTTCGGCGAGTGCGCTTACAGCCGTGGACGAGGCTGCAATGACACCCGACACAGTCAGCACTAAAGCAAAACAACCATCTGTATCTTAACACGCGCCTCGACAGCCGAATGACGTCGGTCAAACAACACTTCCTGGTATAACGGGAGTCAGAAATTTTCACAAGAACTAATGATTCCGGAAAAACAGGAGCTGAGAGCCTTTATTGCTTGCATTAGTATTGGTAAAAAAGCCGTAGGACAAGACTGGCAGCAAATAAAAAAAAACAAAAACAATCGTGTCAATCATGCTGACAACAGTGGAGTCAGTCCAAAATGAACGGCTCAATCAAACCTCACACAAACATGAACGTTCGCTTACGACACACGGCAGCAATAGTGCCAGAACACACGCTTGTGCTGAACCGCAATAAAGACGACCTCAATTGGCGAACCTATGACAGAAATGAAGTAAACAGGGCAAAGATACCAAATTATGTAAGTCAAGTGGAAGGCACGACCATGCCGTTTTTCAGCTTCTTACGCAACATACTGATGCTCGGACAGGTAACGCGACAAACAACTACAGCAGCACTACACATCATTAAGCGTCTGAGCCAAACCATAAAGCAACCAATAAAGCAACCACGGCACCCACACGTCTCTCGCTGGTATGGCCGACCACGTGCGTGCAACAACGGGGCACACCACGCGAAAACAGGCGCTGGGAACTACTGGCGGGGTGGGGAACGCGCCACTCCAGCCTGGCGCCGACTACAGGTAGCCTAGTGCCACGTCTGTACACTCAACCACAAACTACTGCAGGGCTGGGAAGCATGGCAAATACACACATCACCCCAGCCGGGCATTTCAAATGCGAGCATTAACTACGGCTGAATAGGGGATAGCGTGACATGGAAGCAACAAGCCGAATAACGCGCACGACAAAACTAAACAAAACCTGCTTCAAACGCAATTCAGCTAGCAAGCCCACGAACAGCAGGAGCAAGCCAATCGCAAACGGAACACATCAACATGACCGACGCCAGCTGCGCCGCCGGGAGTGGCACGCTGCGAGGGGCACGCACCGAGCCGCGGCGCCCGACGCCAAAAAGCGCAAACCAGTAAACCGAGCCGGCGGCCAGCGGCGAGCCGGCGCACCAGGCGGCGCGCCGCACGCCCAAACCACACCACACAGAGCTGCGCAGCCGGCGACGACAGCAGGCAGCGCCGACGGTGGCCAACGAGAACCAAGCGGCGCGGGCAGCGCCACCTGGCGGCCGGCCGCGGTGCGGCGCGGTGCGGCGCCGGGCCGCCCTCACCGCTGGAGCAGCGTCGGGGTCGTGTCGGCCCGCCGCAGCCGCGCCGAGCCGCGCGCCGCTCGGCCGCGCGCGCCGCCGCCGGCACCGGGCCGCCGCCCGAGTTGAGAGCAGCGCCGACTGGCTGACCAGCTCCGACTGGGCGCGGCGGCGCACGGCGTCACGTCACGGCTTCACGCGCCGCGGACGCCCGCTCACGGCGCGCGCAGCGGGGCCGACCCCGCCCGGTCGTCATGGCGAGCCGCCGACACGCCGCGGCGCACGCCAGTCAACACGTTCACACGTCAATGTTCCCCGACGTCAATCCACTCCCGCGTCGGCCCGCTGGCGAGTTCAAAGTCGCCAAAGGTGGCGCAACGCCTCGGCAACGATCGAAGGCTGTTTATGCATCAGACAGGGCCGCAGGATCGTGACCACTTCGAGCTGATCGCCACCGGCTGGTGGACGGCCGAACAAATGCTACAGACGCTGGCGCGGCTCCACGACAACAGCCAGTGAACCATAGATTGGTTAGTTCAACATTACAATACGGCAATACGTCATTTAAAAGCGGTGCTTTGCCCGGCCCGTAACTCACTTGCACTTTGGCCGTGTGTAGAGACGCTATCCTCGTCCAGGTCATCGTCCGATTTTCTAAGCGATGAAGCTGGAATAAGGACGCGGACGAAACATGAAGACGCGGTGTCAATCGCATAAAACAGCCAGGGGTAGAAGGGGCACCAGTAAAAAAACACAAGTTGACGCCCGATGTGAACCGCACAACTGAAACGTTACGCAGGCCGCCATCTGTAACCAAACCGGCACACACCACCGCGCTACGCGGACCCAAACCGGCGACGGCACCTCCGGCACCGCCGCGTCCCGAGACCTCCACTGCGCACCTCCGGCACCACCGTGTGCCGCCACCTCCTCTCCGCATCTTCGGCACCGCCGCGTGCCGCGACCTCCCCTGTGCACCTTCGGCACCACTGTGTGCCGCCACCTCCTCTCCGCACCTCCGGCACACCGTGTGCCGCCACCTCCTCTCCGCACCTCCGGCACCACCGTGTGCCGCCACCTCCCCTGCGCACCTCCGGCACACCGTGTGCCGCCACCTCCTCTCCGCACCTCCGGCACACCGTGTGCCGCCACCTCCTCTCCGCACCTCCGGCACCACCGTGTGCCGCCACCTCCCCTGCGCACCTCCGGCACCACCTCGTACCGCCACCTCCTCTCCGCACCTCCGGCACCACCGTGTGCCGCCATCTCCTCTCCGCACCTCCGGCACCGCGTCTCCAGACCTCCCCTGCGCAACTCCGGCACCACCCTGTGCCGCCACCTTCTCTCCACACCTCTGGCGCCGCCACGTACCGCGACCTCCCCTGCGCACCTCTGGCACCACCGCACCCAGACCCCGCCTCCCCCCACACGGCCCCCTGTCTCACCGGTGCGGGGTATGGACGTTGTGTTGCGCTGCAGAGTGCGCGTGAGCGACTCGAGGTACGGCAGGCCCGGGTTGTGCACCACCTGGAAGCCGCAGATCAGCTCGATCTGACGCCAGCGGTAGGTGCGCTCCTGCAGCTCCTGCGTCACCTCCATCAGCGCCTTCCGCGCCAGGACGATACTCGTGTCGACGTCGTTGACGGTGCGGCCGTGTGTGGAGACCAGCGCGCCGTACAGGCTGTTCTGCTTCTTGCGCAGCTTGTCGCACTGCGAAACGGGGTGCTGAGTTAGGTCCGGCACTGTCTCAGGTGGGTGCCGGTCAGGAGGGCTCTGCGGGGCGCGGGTGTCGAGTAAGGGCCGGCGCTGCTTGCCGCCGCCGAACCCATCCGAACGAGCATCAAGGCACATCTCAGGCAAGTTGTCCCCGTCGCACGAAGCCGTCACATGGCACAACATCAACGGTCCACGGGTACTGCCACCCATAATACGCACATGGGGGGGGGGGGGGGGCGCACGCGCGACCCCAACGCGCCTCTGACCACCTCACTGTCCCTGGTCACCTTGCCGCACCGCTGGCCACCTGCCCGCCTCCCCAGCCCTGCCCACCTGCCCGCCTCCCAGCCTGGCCAGCGGCCCACCTATCCAGCCCTGGCCGCCTCTCACCATGACTTTGGCGTCCTCCAGCTGTCGCTCGGCGTCGGCCCGCTTGCGGCTATGGTCACGCAGCTCCAGCTCGTACGTGAGCTGCAGCCAGTGCTGCAGCGCCGGCGGGCAGTTCCAGCACCGGTCCTCCAGCTCCGCCTCGGTGCTGCGCAGCGTCTCCGTCAGCATCTGGCGGCGCCGCGGGCGGCTGTCACGTCTGTCAGCCGGTCGTCACGCCTGATCAGAGCAAGATGCCGCGTGTTGACGTCCATCATGCCATGCTTATGGTGAGCACACGGGATTCCCACCTGGCAGGCCTGCGCCCGACACAAACTGCGGCCAGAATCGGCTCTCGTATCTGACAAATGTTGCCGCTATCAGGGTCAAATTGATTCTCTTTTAAGATTTGCTTTGCCAACCGAACCATTGTTGATTAGATTCAAACAGAAATGTAAGTTACCGCATAACTAAGTCTGAAATTAATGTGTGTACTACGTGAAGCAGCCTTAAACAGCTGTCATGCACAATTAGAGCCTCCTGGGGATTTCATAAACCCATCGGACGTATTGCCGTGGACGGTTACCATGCCATTGAAGAGCAGAGCCGCTCCTGTTCAGACTGGCCGCTGACCTAACCTCAGACCTGACAATGACCTTGCCCTCTGGGCGGATCCGCTCCAGCTCGGGCTGCCGCTGACCTGACACACCGACCTGGCACTGACCTCAACCTCTGAACGGAGCCCCTCCAGCTCGGGCTGGTCACCAGCCTGACCTCTGACCTAACACTGACCTCGACCTCTGAGTGAAGCTGCTCCAGTTCTGCCTGGCCGCTGACCTGACACCCGACCTGACACTGACCTCGACCTCTGAGCGAAGCCGTTCTGGCTCGGGCTGGTCACCATCCTGACCTCTGACCTGACACTGACCTCGACCTCTGAACGGAGTCGCTCCAGCTCGGACTGGCCGCCATCGGCGCTGACGTCACCGGTCAACCGCTGCTCCAGACGCCGGTTGTGGGAGGAGACCACCTCCTTCTCCTGGTTGGCCCGGTCCAGCTCCACCTGCGGCCGAGGAGGGAGCGGGGCTCACACGGGTCCCGCTGCTGACGACGGCGCTGTGCCGGCTGTCGCAGAGGTGGCTGCACGGCGCCGTGTAACAGTCACGGCCAAAATTTGCGCAGAGTCGGGACGAGACAGAGCACGCCACAGTGTATGAAATCTAGCGGCCACACCAGGCTAATGAACGCAATTAGCCGTCAGATAACAAACAAGCATAATTCAACCCCACGGAATGCACGCCTAGCCACGAGCGCAAGAGGAGTTGGCTTAATCACACAATTATTTCCGCAGAAGTTAACTCCACGTGACAGGCACTCCTCGCCCCATCCTCAGCAGTACCTGCAGGCCAGAAGCGTCTCCTCAGCCTTGCTCAGGCTCTCCATGTCGGCCGTCATCTTGCGCATGCGCAGCTGGAACTTCTGGTTCTGCCGGTAGACGAGCCAGCAGCCGACGGACGCCACCAGCACCAGCGTCAGCAGGATGGCGTCCTTCACCAGGTTGCTGGGGTCTGAAGCAGTGCGTGCCGTCGATCAACGCTCGGCGCAGACACGCGTCGGTTCTGTATGTGTATGTAATTGGGGCTTTACGACGCACTCAGCTGCTGAGGCTATATGGCGTCGCCTGCCTCTCACCCTGGCAGGAAGGGCGGGCACCGCGGGAAATCGAACCCCGTACCTCTGGTTTCCCAGATGCGCAGTGGTTAACGCAGACGCGTTAACTACCGGCACCCTCTACCGGCACCCCCGTGTCGGTTCTGTGAGTCCGCTATCACTCAACTGTGTCCCTCGCACGGAGCGACAGGCACGCTGGTTTCAGATGAAGCGCCATTTTAGGCGATACATCCGCACGCTCAATGCTGCTCCCTCTGATGTCACATTCATTGGCTGACACGTGGCGGGCAGCGCCGGGCGGGAGGAGGGGGGTCACCTTTAGGGGGGCCGAACAGCACGGCGTCCATGGCCTTCAGCATGATCTTCTGCTTGTGGCGCGGATCCTTGATGCCCAGCACGCCGGACAGAAAGTGGTTGTTGTTCACCGCCAGCCTGTGGACACGAGGCAAACAGCCGGTCAATGCCCCGCGAACACACACGAACACGGGCGCGTAGCAGCCAGGGAGAGCCGGGGCGGACTGCAGGAAAGGCAGCCGACACCGTACTGGCATGAAAGCTGCTGCACAAAACACGCCTCAAGGGCTTACAATCGACGCGTATTGAGTCAGCATCGCTTCATCAAGCACACAGAACGGCATCGATCTCGATTTGCCTCTGTCGTAATGCTGTTTTGCTTTGCACAAAACAGACCATTGAAATGGCAAAATGGTATTTGCACAAGTCAGGCAAAAGGTGCACAGGTGTTTTCAGGTAGCGGCGTTCGCAACCGAATCCGAATGCAGAGTTTTACATCTGTCTTACTCATTTATTTGAGCCCCCGACCAGGCACTATAGCTAGTTACTCTCAGCTCTAGTCTAATCTGTCCCAGTGAACCGAAGAAGCTAACATTTCGAAAACTACGCCGCGGCCGAGGAGAACAGAAAAACTAATGCCAAGCAAGCAAACGCCGCACCACGTGACAGCTATCCCGGGGGGGGGGGGGCTGGTACAGTTGGACCCCAGACCGACGGGGGCGTGTTTCACGGAGCCGACGGTCCGTCGTCGCCTCGCCCTCGGCCGTATCCGTGCCGCCACCCGGCTGGCGGATATCGCACATTCCTGGCAGGCTCACACAGCGCCCGAGCCAGAGGAAAGTGCGCAGGCGTGGACACACACACAAACAAACACACCGACGCACGCACGCCCGCGCGCGCACACACACGCACATGCACGCACGCACGCACGCACGCGCGCATACATACACACGCACGCACACACACATATACACATGCACGCATACACACATGTAGGCACACACGCACGTGCGCACGCACACACAGCGGGCTGACGGGACGTCTGCCCGGCCAGCGCCAGACTTGCCCCGTTCTGGCCGCGGCGCCGGGCCCGCCAGCTGCGGCCCACCAGCTGAGACCGAGCGCCGGTGGCGCACCTGTTGCGGTGGCGGAGGCTGCCGCGGCTGCCGCGCCGCCGGGCCAGCCGGGCCAGGGTCAGGCCACCACCGGCGCCGCCAGCACCGGCCAACGCGCGCGGCAGGTGCGCATCACGTCCAGGCCGCTCGGGCAGCGGCCGTGGGACCCGCCTCCAGCGGCCCGAACATCGCCGGTACGCTCGGTTCTTTAGACTTCGGTGGCGGTCAGTGGGTCAACCGCAGCCCCGCGGGACCAGCAGATTCAGGATGGGCAGAGACAACACAGCCTCGATCCCCACCAGTCAGGACAGGGCCAATCATTACGGACTGACATATGACACACCAGGAAAGGTGTCGTCACTACGGCGCGGCGCTCCGACGTCAGGGGAACACTAGTCATAACATACACGGCATGACATAGCCGCGGAACATGACATACCCGGAAGGGACCGGTCACGAAAGAGCCGTGACTGACGTCGAGGGAGGACGCGTCATGTCGGGCCGACGTCTGACACGTCGGGCACGGCTATTCATGACAGCGACGCCTTGACCTGTCGGCGTATGATACCTGATGACACAGACTGACATAGCGAGCTGGCCTGGCTCGTCTGAAGGCCACCAGCAAGGACAAAATGACGCCCTTGCCACCCGTCCGAAAACCAGTGATGACGAGGCGGCCTGACCTGTCAGGAGCGAAACACCGCGCCATAAGGACAGTGCGCGGCCCACCGTCGGCCAGAACGTCAGGCCTCCACTCGCCGGGTGCAGGCGGGCGTCGACGGCGCGGGCGCAGCGGCACGCGGCGTCGAAAAGGCGCGCCGAGACCGCCGACGCACCGAGCGCGGCCGGCCGCGTGCCGCCAGGCCACTCAGGAGAAATACGGCGGGTTTTTGTCGGTATCTGACCGCCGGCGACGCCTCGGCGTCATACCGGAAGGTGCCCGGGAGGCCGGGCGCTACAGCAGCGCTCGGTGAGATAAAAGACGGCAATAAAACAACTCCATACGCAGCTATCGAGCAATGCTAGAAGTCAATGACCTAAAGTGCATAGGTAAGGTGATCGAGGTCATGATAACGACGCGCGGTGGGCGTCCACCAAACGACACATGCAGCTCCAAAGCGTCTATAACTGGCAAATTTAGAGTCGGCCTTTGCTTATTTCGCGACCCACTTCACCAAGGCCGGCTCCACATTCCGCAAAGATCACGACCACTGGCGGATTCGTGACCCCGTTCTCCGATGGGGTCAGTACGTCGCGGCCAGGGGGGCGGAAAATGAGTCTGATTAGGCAGCCGCGTGGCTGGCGGCGGGCGGCGGCGGGCCCTGTCCCCGATAGCTGGCCGCTCTTGGCACAGGCCGGCGGAATGTCGGCACGCCGACGGCAGAACGCGCCGGATGACGCGACGCCGACCGCTGAGCACGGCCAGCAGCAGAGCGCGCGGCGCCGAGACGCCGACGGCGCACGGCGCACGCCAGCTGAGCCGAGTGAGGCGGCTGTCTGCCCCGGCACAATGTCCCGCAGACTGCGTCGACGGCGGGACTCCAGCAGCCGGCGGCCCCGGAGTGCCGGGCCAGTGCCCGGACCGGCACGGACGACCCGCCGCAGCCGGGACGGCGTTCCCAAATTCATCCAAACGAGCGCGCAGGGGGTAGATATCAATTTATGCTACCAGGATTCTGCATCTCCGGCGGCCTCTGTGCGCACAATTCGTTGGCTGCTGATCTGTTGCCCTTTGACCCCGCAGCGTGACATCTGACCTGACCGGCCGATTGGTCAGGCCGGAGGCGCCCGAATGCTGGGCTGATCGCTGCCCGGTTTGATGCTGAATGACCGACCTTGAGGGGGAGGGGCAACAGGTCGTAAACCTCGAGCCCGGGGCACGATAGCATGAACAAATATCGACATTCTTGCCTCCGAAAGGCCGAACACAGAGACCCTGACAGGGTTGCCAGAGTCTCAAGACACAGTGGAACCTCACAGCAGGGGGCGGCACGGGCACCCCCGTGCAGACGAGACCAGCGCCAGGCCGTGCCGCTGACGGAGCGGCGCTGGCGACCCGGCCGACCCCAGGGTGACGCAGCAAGCCGCCGCGGCGGCAGCAGGACCCGCCACCTGTAGCCGACAGAGTGCGGGCCCTTCCGGGGTCGGCAGCGTTCGATACGGGCCCGGCCGGGCGTGGGCGGTCTGTCTGCAAGGCCTGTCAGACGGCTGGGGAGGCGGAGGCCCGGCCGACGCGAGCGGAGCGGCAGCGGCAGCGCCGCCACAGACGCCAGCCTCCGTCGGGAGTGAGTCCGGCCGCAACCCGCCGCCAGAGGGCAGGACGGCGGCGGGCCCGACATGGGAAGACTGGGAAGATTGGGAAGACATGGCCCCACATGGGAAGACTGCCAGGTGACTGCCGGCGTGGATTCGGCGACTTCTGGTCACCGACGGTCAGTTTCACTCCTGACCCGACACATATACATGGACCCAGACCGCGACATGAACCATAGCTATCAGTTCCGCAGAACACTGGCGATATGGCCAACGCTACCCACGGCCTACACGCACCTTGTGCGCCAAACGGTGAATACGTTGGCATTGTCCGTCCCGATGCCTCAGTTCGTTAGAGCACATGTCTTCCCATTCACCCACTTGTGGTGGGAGCACACGTCTTCCCATTCACTTGTGGCGGGGAGCACATGTCTTCCCATTCACGCACTTGGTCCGGGTCCCTTTAAGCACTCGCTATTCGTCCTGATTGGAATGGCCTGTGGCTGACGGCAGTGGCCGCGTTAAAGGTCAAGTGATGTCAGAGGGTGGAGTAGACCGCGTCGAGCATTACGGCACATTAAATTTTCGCCACAAAATTCTGCCGTTCCGTCGACCTGTTATCTCAAGATCGGATGGTGGGATAAGAGCTCACACATCAAGTATTCCGTGCCGTGGGCTCTGAGCCTAGAAACCCATCCAATGAAAAATTCGGCTGAACCTAAAAACAAAAAATCAAAAAACTAACATAGAGCATGACGCCCGTACTATGAACAGGCCAGTTCTTACTCCCCGCCCCGTACCCGGCTGCCGTTGCCGACGGTCTGCCCCGTATCGCTAAGTGCCGAGGCTTCAACACGTGCGCACCGAGACCGGCCCAGCCGCTTCGGGCCGTAACCACCGGCCGCGCCAGGCCCCGACCCTCGCCCATCCCAGCCACGCTCAGCCCTCTGCGTCCCAGACGTCACGAGCCGCGCCGGAGTCAGCAGCGGGGCCTACCTGGGCAGCGACGGACCGGCGATGTGGTGCAGCTCGAACACCTCCCGGTACTGCGGCAGGTGCACGTGCAGCACCAGCCACTCGACGGTCTGCTCGGTGGTCCAGTTGTGGACGGCCGAGCGGCGCCAGTGCTCCCACAGCTCGCGCACGCTCACGGCCGTATCCTGGCTCTGGTCGGACCGGTGGAACAGGTCCTGCCGGCTGCCGTAGCCCTGGACGTAGTTCAGCTCCTCGCGCAGGAACTGCCGACAGCGGGGCAGGGGCCTGGTCAGGCGCGCACACCGGTGGACGGCGGCGAAGGGAAGTGGACATCATGCCCTGCTGGAGGAGCGAAATCCACGAGAATTGCCGCGTTTTTTTCATTTCAACACAAAGCATCCAACGTCCACCACATCGCGTTCCTAGCAATGCGGAATAGTACGACAGCACAGCACTAGCACTTATGACACGAGCACAACGAGCATCGTTCCACCCGCGAGCCTCACAGACAGCAGCTTCAAACGCCGGCACCCCGCCACGAAGCCACGGAGCCAGCACGCCAATCATGTCCCGTGCGCTGCCGGCGTGATGGGGCTCCGGAGCTAGTCGACGCAGGGCGCGATCGCCTCTCAATGCTGGAGGGGTCGGCTGCTGCGGCGGCTTACGACCGCGCGCCACCCGATGCAGCAACAGTGGCGGATTTCCTACGATGACAAATGGGACGCAAACCTCATCGCACGGACGCGTCAATCCTAACACGCTAATGACGGCCTCTGGGTTAGATGCCACGCGGTGGAGGGCGTCATAACGATGTGAGGCTGTGTTAACGGGGAAGTCAAAAAGCCAGGCGGTAGCGCTCATGACCCATAGACCTCTGATGGGTTGCGAGACTTTTCTGGGCACAATCCGTGTCATAGGTACCCTGGTCGGGCCGGCCGAAGACATCATCACGGCAACCGGCGCACAGCGTCTCGAGATAGCCTTTAGAGCGACCTTTCATGTCTTTCACGAGCCTTGGTGATTACGCTGACATGGAATTTCCCGCCCAGCGACTATCCGCTCACATGAGACCGCTACTCAGTCTGGAAGGACTGGCAATTCCATACCAGCCAGATTACATACCAGCCAGACATAAGACGGGTGGGGGGCATACATTCATGCATAGATGCCTTGCAATCATGACAAATCTCCAGATACCATCACGCAAATGAAGAATATACGTGTTCTACACCCATCGCCGCCATGCGTCGGATGTGAGAGATCTGTGTCCCATGCCAAGCCTTGACCATGAACCATGACCTTTGAAGCCCACCCAACATCCATCGGCCAGTCCCAGAGCCGCATCCAGTGCGGCACTCAGAGCTGCACAAACACCGACGCCGGGCAAATCCCAAGTGGCGACGCCTTTCCAAATAGTTCTGGGAACCGGCGGAGCCGACAGCTGGGCCCCGGCAGCAGACGGGCGCCGAAAGAGCTCACCGCGGCCCGGTCCCGGGAGGGGAAGGGGCCGCCGCGGCCGGCTCCAGCAGCCCGGCCCGGCAGCGACGAGCCGAACCAGCCGACTCCGTCACGACAGCTGGGCATCGCGCGACCCTGCGCTGGTCACGACGAGCACGTGGCCACACGCGCCCACTACGATGAACCCATCACGATGGCAGAGCAGGCGGACGCGCCACGACAAGAGAGTGCCCAGACGTGCTATCGCATCGGACGCGTGACGTACCAGCAGCGGCGGGACGCATACCAACGAAGCGCCCTCATCTCCTCCAGACCCGGCGTTCCCAGGCCCGGACCAGACATCTCGCGACCCGGCGCGCGGCGGTGGAGCCGCTCCGCCGGCAGAGGCCGACTCAGGCCAGCGACCTGAGCCCCGCGGCCCGCCACCCGTGCCCGAGCGCGCCGTCACGGGCAGCCCGTAACGATCGCCGCGCGCCGGACAATGTGGTGACGTCAGCGCGGCCGTTCGTCTGGAGCCGGCCGCTGGCAGCCGGGCACCGGAGCGCCAAAGGCGGCGCGTCCGGACGAGTTTAGCCAGCGTTCGGCAGTTGGGACGGCCGGCCCGGCCCACGCGGCCTGAGGCGACCGTCATGGCCTGACGTCAGGAGGCGACGGTCAATACGGCGCCGCAGGACACGGCCCCAGACGGCCCGCACCGCTCACTCTACAGCCGCCCGTCACGCCGCTGGTCGCCCAGTGCCGGAAGCGTCGTGCCGCGTGAGGTCACGCACCATGAGCCCACACACAGGAGTGCGGCACTAGACTGCTCTTCGATCGCTGACTGCTCGCTGCCACTGCTCGGTATCTGCAGTACACGCTCCGCGCGGGCTTGCGGAAACATCTTGTTTTCGAGCAGGCGACTTGTTTCAGGTGATTGTCGTGCTTTTTCAGCGCCGGACTGCCAAGATTATCACGCCTGCCGGGAGTTTGGTGCCGGGAGTTTGGTGGCGTAGCTAGCGGTCGGGTGCGCGGCCTTCCAGACACACGCCGTCACGAAACCAAACGCGAGACATCAAACTGCCTGTCAGCGGGTGCGACGATCACTCTCGTCGCACACTGGTTTCGGCTGTGTAAGCGCACACTATCAGACTGTGCTTGACTGCAGATATGCGCGACAGATCTAATTCGAGACGTCTCCCCGTCCGCGTACGGCTACGATCCCAGGTGTGGCTCGCGGCACACGAATGTTGAATATTCCCTTCATTCGCGGCCCACCAGCGGACCATCAATCGTCGGTCGTCTGGCGCTGGGACCGCCGCGAGAGGCAGCGCGCATATTTGCGGACCAGTTCTCCAGGAAACCGCGTCACGCGCCCGCCACGATTCAGCCGGCGGCCGCGTCGTGCCGTCGAAGGCCTTCCGAAGTCGACAAAAACAGTGCGTGCGCGCCGCACGCAGGCCGGCCCTGACCCCTGGCCGCGCCTGGTGTTGACTGCGGTCAGCGCGGACCGCCGCGGACGGCTACGGGTGACTCGCGACAGCGCGGCTGGCCGGCTCACGACCCGCACTGCACCATCCAGGTCAAGGTGGCGTCTGCATGGATAGACGCGCCGTCACGGGGCCGGGGAGAGAGGCACCTCGTCGAGTGTGCTTATTTACAGCAGGTGCTGAAAGTCGCACCGTTGAGCGATGATCCACTACCCGGGCCGCTTGTACGGCGGCGATTTTGGGCAGCCGTAACCTGCTCCGCCAGGTGTTCCGGCATTACCCGACCCCGGCCCAGCGCCAACAAACCCCCGGTAAGGTCACTACCCCGGCCTATCGCCAGAAAATCCCCGGTAAGGTCACCACCCCGGCCTATCACCCATGAAACTCCGGTAAGGTCACCACTCCGGCCCATCGCCAGTAAACCCCCGGTAAGGTCACCACCCCGGCCTATCGCTAGTAATCCACCGGCAAGGTCGCCACCCGGGTCTATCGCCAGCAAAACCCCAGTAAGGTCACCACTCCGGCCCATCGCCAGTAAACCCCCGGTAAGGTCACCACCCCGGCCTATCGCTAGTAATCCCCCGGCAAGGTCACTACCCGGGCCTATCGCCCGCAAAACCCCGGTAAGACCACCACCCGGCCCATCGCCAGTAAACCCCCGGTAAGGTCACCACCTCATCCCATCGCCAGTAAATCCCCGCTAAGGTCACCACCTCAGCCCATCGCCAGTAAATCCCCGTTAAGGTCACCACCTCAGCCCATCGCCAGTAAATCCCCGTTAAGGTCACCACCTCAGCCCACCGCCAGTAATTCCCCGTTAAGGTCACCACCTCGGCCCATCGCCAGTAAATCCCCCGTTAAGGTCACCACCTCAGCCCATCGCCAGTAAACTCCGGCAAGGTTGCCACCTCAGCCCATCGCCAGTTAACTCCGGTAAGGTCACCACCTCAGCCCATCGCCAGTAAACCCCCCGTACGGTCACCACCTCAGCCCATCGCCAGTAAATCCCCCGGTAAGGTCACCACCTCAGCCCATCGCCAGTAAACTCCGGTAAGGTCACCACCTCAGCCCATCGCCAGTAAACTCCGGTAAGGTCACCACTTCAGCCCATCGCCAGTAAATCCCCCGTACGGTCACCACCTCAGCCCATCGCCAGTAAATCCCCGTCAAGGTCACCACCTCAGCCCATCGCCAGTAAACTCCGGTAAGGTCACCACCTCGGCCCATCGCCAGTAAATCCCTCGGTAAGGTCATCACCTCAGCCCATCGCCAGTAAAACCCCGGTAAGGTCACCACCTCAGCCCATCGCCAGTAAATACCCGTTAAGGTCACCACCTCAGCCCATCGCCGTGTAGGAAACTCCGGTAAGGTCACCACCTCAGCCCATCGCCGGTAAACCCCCGGTAAGGTCACCACCTCAGCCCATCGCAGTAAACCCCCGGTAAAGGTCACCACCTCAGCCCATCGCCGGTAAACTCCGGTAAGGTCACCACCTCAGCCCATCGCCAGTAAACCCCCGGTACGGTCACCACCTCAGCCCATCGCCGGTGAAACCCCCGGTAAGGTCACCACCTCAGCCCATCGCCAGTAAACCCCCGGTAAGGTCACCACCTCAGCCCATCGCCGGTAAACTCCGGTAAGGTCACCACCTCAGCCCATCGCCAGTAAACTCCGGTAACGTTGCCGGGCACCGGCCGCTGAAAGCCCGCCCCGGGCGCCGAGGAAGCAGGCCCAAACGCGCCTAGTGACCTGCGCATCCCCATGAGACGATCGATCAGCCGATAATGAACTGTTGGATGCTTTGAGACGGTGAATGATGGGTTGTATGTGCTGGTGGCAGCGCCAAGCCGAGCCCGGAGAGCTTACGGCGGTGGCGGCGGCAAGAATGCGAAAGGGCTGTCCAACCTCCGCCCAGCCGGCCATGCACTGAGGTGTGGACTTCTACACATGACTCGCCCGACTCCGGGACATAGTTTGCCCGACAGTTGGGCGGGGCGGGGCGTCAATGGCTGGTGGCAACAGTACGACTTTTGTCTGGTCAGCGCTGGCTGGGACCTACCCTTCATCGTTGGTGAGGGACGCTGGCACGTTCTCGCCGCTTGGTTCTGAATCGAACTAGAGCCACGGAACAAAGACCGGCAGAAGCCTCGCGTATATGCGAAGCCACGACGTCCAGCCCAATCTAGTGGGGTCAATTCGCTGGTCCCAGCCCAGCTCAACCTGGACGCTTGAAAACACAGAGTGCAAAAATCACGGCTATTTTGCGCTCAGGACAACAATTTTCTTACCAAATGGAGACCAAATCATGTTTGCTTAAAAACAATGGTGACTCTGAATGT